GCGGCAAGTCCAGAGGCGATGCGGGGGTGGGGGCCGGGGGCCGCGTATTTCAGTGAAATGCTCTGTGGGGGCAATCTGGCAGCTCCATCATTTATCTTACAATGTGGGCTGGAGGGCCAGCTGTATTCTCGGCGGTGGGCGGGAGGGAAGGCGAGCCAACTGCGCTCCTGCGGCGAGCGGCCAATGGAAGGCAGCCAGCCTCCTGTGCCTCTCGCTGGGCAGGCCTGCCTCAGCTGGAGCGCGCGTTCCCCGAGGCCAGTGATGCCTGGGCTTCCTGACGCTCCGTTAGCCCTTTGTTTGGGAAACCAGACCAGTCCAGGAGAGAAGACAAGAAAGAACAAAGCAAAAGCTAAAGCAAAATAATGTCTTTACAATATCTTCTTTTAAAAAATCATATGAAAGGAAATAGCACTTATGCATAAGCTCCTAGAGGAACGATGCCCAGTAGGACCACACACGTCCTTGTCCAGAAAAACTCCACGTCCTTCCTGTCATACTCTCAGCAGTGGGTTCACAAAGCGATTGGGGTGGACACTTTTCTTTGTCTCGTTTCTGGGGACTGTTCTCAGCAGGTGCCCGGGACTCTACTCTTCAAATTGCTATTTTCTCCCAAGTTTTTCTTTGGTGATTTGCTGAGACCCAGATGAGAACATAAGCACGTTGAGGCTGCTTTCAGTATGTTTCAGCAGTTCAGCAATCATTTCTCAGGCGTGTGTGTGTGTGTGTGTGTGTGTTTAATATGCTTCTCTTATGTGGTATGGATGACACCAATCTGCCTCCCCCAGGCCTTTTGGGCTCCATTTTTAAAAGAATTTTATGCTCTCAGATACTTTTTCTGAATAGAAGTATTTTCATTTCAAGATATCACAGTGGTCCAATGGGCAGTTGCTCTTCTTTAGCCTAAACGACGCCATTGTTCCTCTCATCCAACACAGACTTGCTCCTTGCGATCGCAGGTTTTATTGCATTCCGACCTTCTTTGGGGACATGATTCTTCATGATCTCTTTTGGACAGGGTAGATCAAGGTGACTCACACCACCCCATCATTGGTTTCAGTTATTCGTTTCATATTGGTGTATTGAAGGCTCAGAAGGAGCTCAGACATAAGAAATATCCAAACCGGTAGAGAATTCTTATGGGTTTATTTGAGCCAAACTCACAACAACTGTCAGGAAGCAAAATCTCAGTGGATTGAGAAAATGCTCCAGAGAATGGCAAAGGAGGAGACGCAAGGAGGGTTATATGAAATCCATTGATGGTCGATTAAGGGGGCGGGAGAAAGCAACGCGAGGAAATACCTGGAATCAGATCAAAAGGAAAATGAACAGACACATACTTCTTTTACATGGGTGGGTGCAGGATAGTGAATTAACATGTGCATAGAGGTGGCATGTGGAGAAGATAACTTGCCTGGTGCGGTAAGTGTGCCGTAAGAGGTCTGGACAAGGAGATCATGCTGACATTTCAAAGGTCTGTTATCTTAGATGCAGAAGACAATGGACAGGTTCACTTCAGGTAAAGACTGACCTTTGTCCAGGGAGCTACAGGCCTGGGACTGGACTACCCGCCGTGACTCCCTTTTACTTAGGAATTTTTATGTTCAGACCATCCTCTGTGGTTACTTTCAGTCTCTGAGTTTGTAGGGTCCACCAGGCTGGCCTCCCCTGAGCTTGTCAGGTTTAGGATGGGCCCCTTTTTTTGGTCCACAGTTCATGGTGTTCAAGAGGCAGTTGGATAGTTGACCACCCACCAAATAGGTTGGTGTAAGAAATGACATGCCTATTTCTTTTCTAGATATTTAATGCCGTAAGCGAGCTGGCCAACACCACGGCCTACACGTCTGTCCGCATCCTTTCCGTGTCTCTCAATCAGGCAGAGCAGGAGCTCGAGGATCTCGCTGAGGTTGACTTGGAGTGGTCTAAGCCCACCGCAGGTGAGTGATTGCTGGAGCAGGTGCCATCTCTACATGGAGTGTCAGCACCCTGGGTGGGCTCTGAGACCCTGAATTTGGTTCTTAATCTATTTATTAGGTTGCAACCATCCTTTTTTCATTTTAAAAAAAAATATGTTTTTATTGATTTCAGAGAGGAAGGGAGAGGGAGGGAGGGAGGGAAGGAGGGAGAGAGAGAGAGAGAGAGAGAGAGAGAGAGAGAGAGAGAGAAAGAGAAACATTAGTGATAAGAAAGAATCATTGATTGGTCGCCTCTTGCATGCCCCCTTACTAGGGATTGAGCCCACAACCCAGGCATGTGCCCTGACCAGGAATTGAACCTCGACCTCCTGGTTTATGGGTCGACACTCAACCACTGAGCCACTCCAGCCAGGCCTTTTTTCATTTCTTATCGACTCTTCACCCTATTCCTGATGGTAGCCATTCCATACGTTTATTCCCAAGATTCCACTGCCGAGTCATCTTCCTTGCTGTGAGCAGTGCCTCCACCTTCAGCCTCACTGAGCACCCCGAGGCCGCTCCGCGTGACCCCTCGAGCACCCCTCCTCCGTGCCTCAATGCTCTGTCCTCCTCTTTCTTCCTGTGTTTCCGTGTCAGAACACAGCTGACTGGGGTCCTCTCATGGCTGCCCCTGATGCGGGCTCTCACTTCCTCTGGGGCCTTCTCCCGCCCATCCAGCTCTGGTCTGTGCGTCCAGCAGGAAATCTTTATTCCCCGCCCACTCCCAGTGGCTCTCTGTGCGGCCTCAAGGGAAGAGCAGTGAGCAAGGCAGACGCAGTCCCTACTCTCAGAGTTTAGCTTTCCTTTATAACGAAACAGCCAAACGGAACATAACAGACACCCTTCACACAGTGCCTCCGCTCTCCCCTCTGCTTTGTTAAAACTTTCTAGGACATCTTCTTTTTCTCATTCTTCTCACTGCCTTTCCTTTAGCCCTTTATTGTCTGTCTTCTGCTTCCATCTCAGCAACTCATTCACCTCAAAATGACTCCTGTCCTTCTCACGATACCTTCTGGATACTTCTAAGCCTTCGACCCTGCCCACCGCCCCCTTTGGGAGCCGCACATTCCTGTTAGCTGGCGTGGTACGTCCTTTCCCTCGTCTTCCCGCCCGAGGTCTCTGCTTTCTCCAGTTCCTTCCTCCAGTATGGCCCCTGGTGAGCTCTCTAGTCCCTGTTCTGTTTTGTCTGTCCATGCTTTACCTCGGGAACCTCAATGACTCCTACATATTCAAGTATTAATTAACTCACCAGCTATTTGAGTGCCCACTATGTGCTAGGCGCTGGCCTCGGTGCTGGGGGTATAGCAGTGAATAAAACAGGCAAAAACAGCTGGTCTCATGGAGCTGGTATTCTAGAGCAGGGGGATGTAGAAAATGAATAATAAAATCAGTAAACTTTCTGGGAAGTACCTGATGTTACTCCGTATCACACTATCTGAGCTCTCCCTATAAGAACTTAGGAACTAAATTGATTTTGGTCAATTTGGGAGGAATGTTTTGGTCTGTGAACTCTCACCACATGTTATCCAAAACTCAGGAATCACTTAGATTTGGATAAGGGGTGCATACCTTGCTATCACCCCCCTTTCACTCTCTGAACTCGGACACCAGATACATTTGGGATATCGAGGGATAGGTTAGACCAGTGGTCAGCAAACTCATTAGTCAACAGAGCCAAATATCAACAGTACTTCTTCAAAATAGACTTGCCCAGGCCGAAAACCGACTTCTGCGCATGGGCCACAAAGTTTCAATCGCACTGTACGTGCGCCCGCACATGGTATTTTGTGGAAGAGCCACACTCAAGGGGCCAAAGAGCCGCATGTGGCTCGCGAGCCGCAGTTTGCCGACCACGGGGTTAGACTCTAACCGTTAGAGGGTGATGCGTGCTAATGACACTAAATAAATACATCAGGGAAGGCAGTCAATTCAGACTCTTGGGGTCTGTGATAGATAGTGGTTTCCAGTTTAGAGTGGCCGTGGAACTCCTAGTGAGAAAGGCAGCATTTCAGTGATACCCTGACGGAGGTGAGGCAGTGAGATATCTGGGGAGGAGCACATAGGCCAAGTCCTTCTCACACTTCGTGTCTCTCCTGCCTCTGCTGTGGTCACATCTCTCTGCTTGCCACTGGGAAGGCTTTCTGACGCTGAGGACTCACGTAATTAGCTTGGACGCACCTGGATAATCCAGGACCCTCTTCCATCTCCAGGTCCTTAACCCCAATCACATTCACAAAAGCCCTTTAGCCACAAAAGGTATAGCCACAGGTTATAACCATTAGGGTGTGGACATTTTTGGGGGGCTGCTCTGCCTACACACAATCTCATTCTCAAGGGGCTTTTCATCTTCTTTACTCCCCTCCCCCCAGTCTTAGCTTCCTTTTGTAACCTATGCTCCAGTCCAACACTTTCAACATTTTCCTGTGCCTTTTAATATATTGTCTTTTCTGCCTAGAATGCCAGCTCTGCTTATTCAACTTCTGCCTATCCTTCAAGACTTCTCACCTCTCTCCCTCTTTTTTTTTTAAAAAAAATATGTTTTTATTGATTTTAGAGAGAGAGGAAGGGAAAGGGAGAAAGAGAATAATCTGTGAGATAGAAATATCGATTGATTGCCTCCATATACACCCTAATCGGAGGTGGATCCTGCAATCCGGGCATGTGCCCTGACCGGGAATCAAACCAGTGACCTTTTGGTACATGGGATACCGCTCAACCAACTGAACCACCCTGGCCAGGGCTCTCCCTGCTCCTCTTCATTACCTTTTCTCTCTACCTGCTCATCAATGAAACCAGCTTCATACCAGCCACCCACAACCACCCAACACCAGCCCACAAACATCTACTGACTCTCTGGTAGGTCCAGACACTGAATAGGGTGAACTAAGCGAATAGTTCAGTAGGGTCAGGGAAACACTATGTGTGCAGCGGTTCTCAACCTGTGGGTCGCGAACAATGAAAATACATCCTGCATATCAGATATTTACATGACGATCCATAACAGTAGCAAAATTACAGTTATGAAATAGCAACGAAAATAATTTTATGGTTGGGGGTCACCACAGCATGAGGAACTGTATGAAAGGGTCGCGGCATTAGGAAGGTTGAGAACCACTGGTAGAGTATTGTGGAAGCGCCGGGGGAGGCCAGTCTTTATTAGGATTTTTATGATCTGCCTTTCATTTTACATTCATTCTTTTTAAAACCCCTTAATACAGTTAGTACCTCTGGAGGCACTTAACCATATTTTGCCCTATATTTTACTCAGCTGAATAGATGTCTTATTTTGTAGAATATCAGACCTGTGAGGAGAGATCCCATGGTTCTCCTTTTCTTGTTACTTACTATACTCCCACCATCTAGACGTGCCTGGCACCTAGTAGGTGCTCCGTCAATTTTAATTGACTTGAATCCCCACTATGACACTCTCAGCTGTTTGAGTGCCAGAACCATATTGAATTGGGATCTTGAGTGGTGCCAAGCCAGTGCCTTGGACATAGCAGTTCCTTAGGAAATTCTGGGTTGAATGACCCTGTCGGGTGAGTGTGTGTGTGCCCGTTCCCCTCTTCATCAGCTTTCTTCCCACATGCGATTGACCACTCCCGTGTGTGTTAGTGACCGGGCTGTATGGACACCTGAGCTTTCTATGCTGAACATTTAAGCACCAGTTTTGTTTTTTGTCGCTTTCTCTTTTAGCCAGACGTTGCATCCCTTACCTGCTGCCCATGTCTTCATGACCATTAGCTATAAAATGGGGTAGAAAAAAGACACATTTCTTCCTGACATGCTCCCTGCTTGCTCATTTCTTTCCACGGAGCTAAGTGGGGACGAATGGCGAGGGAAAGGTAGAGGTGAGGAGAAGGTGGTAGAGGGGCCTGATGGCCTTTCTGCCCTCACCTGTTGAGGAGGACTAATCGTATTCCGAGGTTCTCAGGAACCTGTAGGTGAGAGGGGAGCATGGGCGGGGGGGTCTACTCGCCTGGCCAGGGAGCTTTGGTTCTCTGCAAATGAGATCATGGCCTCTCAATCTTCTCCTACTTTTGGAAATTCTTAGCAAGGAACACAAGGGATGGACCACACCCCTTCTTCTCACCTAGACCCATCTGTATCCCTCTACTCCTTTTTTTTTTTTAATTGATTTTTCACAGAGAGGAAGGGAGAGGGACAGAGAGTTAGAAATATCGATGAGAGAGAAACATCGATCAGCTGCCTCCTGCACACTCCCTACTGGGGATGTGCCCGCAACCAAGGTACATGCCCCTGACCGGAATCGAACCCGGGACCCTTCAGTCCTCTGGCCAACGCTCTATCCACTGAGCGAAACCGGTTAGGGCTCCCTCTACTCTTTACCTGACCCTCTTCTTCTGCACAGAAAACTTAGGCCATGGGAGTTTCGAGTACATGTCGGCCGTGTGCTGGCTCTTCGGGCGCAACCTGTACGACACGCTGCAGTATCCCGTGGGGCTGATCTCCTCTTCATGGGGCGGGACCCCCATTGAAGCCTGGTCATCTAGAAGGTCGCTGAAAGCCTGCGGGGTCCCTAAGGAAGGGTAAGAAAGCATCCCGCAGTCCGGGAGAAAGCCTGCCAGGAAATTAGATAAAAGAGGAGAATCGCGGTCTCCTTTGGGGGGTGAAGTACGTGCTGAGTGTCCAAATATGTATTAACTTGTTCCCTGCACAGGCAAGGTATTATTTTCACTGTCACCACCACCACAGCCATCTGAGAACAGCACAAGCAATTATGAGTCTTTTTCTTAATAATAATTATAGCTAATACTTACTGAAAGCTTTATGCTGAAAAATGTTGTAAGTAGTTTATATATAGTAACTCATTTAATACAACAATCTCTTGAAATGTAGATACTGTTAACATAGCGTGGAAAAAGATACCAAGTCGGAGCCCAGCCGGCGTGGCTCAGTGGTTGAGCGTCGAGCTATGAACCAGGAGGTCACCATTTGATTCCCGGTCAGGGAATATGCCTGGGTTGCGGGCTCCGTCCCCAGTGTGGGGCGTGCAGGAGGCAGCCGATCTATGATTCTCATCATTGATGTTTCTATCTCTCTCTCCCTCTCCCTTCCTCTCTGAAATCAATAAAAAAAATATTTAAAAAAAAGATACTAAGTCGGAGAGAGCTTTAGTAACTTGCTCATGGACACACGAGTAAGTGGCAAGGCTGGCCTCAGTGTCTGCTCTTAACCACTGTGCTGTATTGCTTAGCAGAATAACACCGTAACAGGAAGAACAAGTAGACGTGCAATCAAAGAAATATGTAGTGTAGTGATTATGAAAGCACTCTGAGGGAAAGCTAGATCAGGAAGGACACGTGGTGTGGGCTTTGGGTCGGAGGACGGGCTACTTAATAAAATTTTGATCGTCCTGCTAACGTAGAGATGAACGATACGTGGACGGCCTTCCCAGACATCGTCTCATCAGTCCTGGGAAGGCCTCTGGGAAGAGGGTGGACTTGAGCTTTTGGTTTTGTTTGGGTAAAGGTGTGCCTGTGTGAAGACATTCCATTTTGGAGCAGAAGGAATTGCCTGCAGTAAAGCAGGAGGCATCTGAAGCCAGGCCTCCCAGATCTCTGAGGACATGGAAGGGACAGTTCCAAGGGTGTGGGAGAGTGGGTGTACATTCCTACAGGCATTCTACAGAGAAACTCAGGAACACGTTGAAAGCCTTTTAAAAAAAATGTGTCCGTTCACCCAGCCGTTTCCGATCTGGGAGTTGATCTTAAGGAAATACTTGTCTGCATGCAATGATGAAGCTATAGGAAAGAGAATTGTGGCGTTGCTTACAAAAGCAAAAAGCTTGAAACGATCTAAGTGTCTATTCATGGAGGACTAGTCAAACAGACCTATTGCCTTGTGTGTGAGACTCGTAATAAAACACTTCTCTTCGTGGCTTTAATGACCTGATCTGGAAACTGGGGTGGCCCACGCTGAACCCGTGGAAAACTGACTGATACCCTTATCCTGGGAAGAACCTGGAGGTGAAATTCAGAGACTGTTCACACGTGTCCATGTGAGGCAGAGCAGTTCAATGTAATCCTGTGTTGCTGTCATCAGAAATTTGCCCCAAGTAAAAGCTGGAGAGGCACCCACGTGAGCGATCATAATGTGATCGATCACTAGCTCTCTCCTGACACTTGTGCGCCTTATCGATTTCAGGTTCACTTCACCGGCTTCTATAAGTGGCCCCAGTAAACACTCTGTTCTCTGGAACGCCATGATCCATCCACTACATAATATGACTCTGAAAGGCGTGATATGGTACCAGGGTGAGTGTTCGATTTGCTGTTTCTCCACCGTGTCAGTTAGCTCGGCTGCATAACAAACCATCCTAGAATTTAGCGACTTACAACAAAAGCAATGTTATTTAGCTCCCTGTTCTGTGGTCTAGCAGGGTCGGTTCTCCATCTGGGCTGCTTTGGCTAATTTCCGCTGGGATCTTTATGTGTCTTTGGCCACCTGGCAGGTTGATGGCCGAGTGACTTAGATTGGCCTCTCTCCCATGTGTTGGCTGGGAGCTGTCTACCTGCTGGGGCCCCATGGCTCTCAATGTGGCCCCCCACCCTTCAGCAAGCTAGCTCAGACTTATTTACTGTTTACATAGCAGTTTCAGGGTTCCAGGTGTATCGAGAGAGCAGACCCCCGAACTGAAGCACTTTTCAAGCCTGCTTGTATCATGTTTGCTGATGCCTCTGTCGGCCCAAGCAAGGCCAGTCCAGAGAGACTGCAGGGAGGCCCACTTCCCAAGGCAGGGCTAGAGGTTGGGGAGCATTGTGTGGCCATTTCTGCTTCTACCCCAAACTTCTCTCACCACTTGGACTGTTTCCAGGGGAGGCCAACATCGATTTGAACAGGGACCTGTACAACTGCACGTTCCCCGCGCTCATTGAGGACTGGCGCCAGACCTTCCACCTCGGCTCTGAGGGGCAGACGGAGCGCCTCTTCCCGTTTGGATTTGTGCAGGTGTGTGTGGAGGGGAGGAGGGTCTACGGACCTTGCCGTGGGGATGTGCCACTGAGATCTCCTTCCTGGAACCCATATTCTTTCACCCTCATAGCCGCTGGTCAGGGACTGAATGTATGGCTTAATTCATCTCTGTTCACTGCGGGGACAAGTGAGTCTTTTAAAAAGTGAAGAAGTAACTAATATGTCTTCCTATTAAAAAAGTACTGCATGTTTATTAAAGAAATATGAAAAAGATAAGCTAAACAACATTTATAATTCCACCATCCAGAAATAAGCACTTTTCTGCTCATTATTTGTGAAATAGGATCCATACTACAATAGTGTACCATATCTTGCTTTTTCTTTCTCATAATGTTATATTGTGAACATTTTTCATGCTAATAGATTTTATTTATTATACTTATTTATTTATTTTAAAAATATTTTTATTGATTTCAGAGAGGAAGGGAGAGGGAAAGAGAGAGAGAGACATTGATGAGAGAGAATCATCGATCGGCTGCCTCCCGCATACCCCACCCTGGGGATCAAGCCCGCAACCTGGGCATATGTCCCAACTGGGAATCGAACCATGACCTCCTGGTTCATAGGTCAATGCTCAACCACTGAGCCAATAAATACTAATCTTGGGCACATTTTTAAAAATATATATATTTCATTGATTTTTTACAGAGAGGGAGAGGGATAGAGAGTTAGAAACATCGATGAGAGAGAAACATCGATCAGCTGCCTCCTGCACACCCCCCAGTGGGGATGTGCCCGCAACCAAGGTACATGCCCTTGACTGGAATCGAACCCGGGCCCCTTCGGTCCATAGGCCGACGCTCTATCCACTGAGCCAAACCGGTCAGGACTTGGGCACAATTTATAATGATTACAGAGTGCTCTGAACTACGGTTATGTTATAATTGATTTAACGAGGCCTTGATAAATGGGCACTGAGGTTGCTTTAAATGTTTTGCTTTTATAAGAAGCAGCATTTTTCTATTCTTTGCAGCTAAATCCTCACATACATGCTTAATTTTTTCCATAAGATAAATTCCCAGGAATGAAATTGCTAGGTTAAATTGAATACTTTTTAAGGCTCTGAACATGTTCCCAAAGTTCCCTGTAGAAATTTATGAGTGGGTATGACTGTATACCCTTCACAACAATGTGTGAGAACGTTCCCTTCCCCACACCCTCCCTAACTTGGTGTTATCCCTGCCACTCCTTAGAAGGGACCTCGTTCTCTCACTCCCAGCCCATGGCACATGCTCTTTGCCTGAAATAATCTCTCTCTCCCACACTTTCCCAGCGAACTTTTACTTACCCTGCAGCTCTCGCCCTGGGTGTCACTTAGGAAGCCCTCTGTGACTTACCGAAGTTTGAGTAAGGTGGTAGTTCTGACTTTGCTGGAACACAGGAAATTAAACAAGTAAAATGTTCTAAAACCAAGACCCAACTCACGCCGTAGTGAGGGAATGGGCTTTAACATCTGAGTTGGACAGAATACTCCCCGACAGCTGCCTCTGGATGGCCACAGTTTCCCTTCCCACCAGCCACCCATCTCCTCTACCTCGTCCTACTTCACCATACTTTTTTTGGATAAAGATTTTTATAGACACTCTTTGCACTTATAACTACTTTACAATCATTTTCTTTCTTACATTTATTTTGACTTTGAAACAAGATTATTCTGCTCATTATTATCAAAATAGCAACTCCTGTCACAGTTCTGAGTTACTGTTGGTGGAACTACATTTGGGTTTTGAGGTACTTTTTTTTGTCTCTTAGCCTGTGTACTTGCTGATTTAAATGTGACTTCAGCCAGCTCAGCCCAGAAGTGTGTGCTGAATGCTTGCAGTGTGCTCTGAACTGTGCGAGGTGCTGGAAACAGCACGAACCAGAGACCTTGTCCTGGCACCGAGGCCTTCCAGTTTAGTAGAATCCCCTTAGCCTCTGGGCTTAACTTGATGTCATCAACAAAAATATGTTGGTCACATGTGAAATACCGAGACTATCAACATCTGCCTTCAAAGGGAGATACCGGATCACAGCTGCCTTCAGATGGAAGCCAGCCTGCCTGGATTCCGATCCCAGGTCCGGCACTTCTTTAGCTATGCGATTTTGAACAAGATATCAAACTCCTTTGTTATTTTAAGTGTTAGTGAGTTAATCCATGTAAAGCTTGGCACATGTCAGATAAAGTTAGTGTTTGCTTTTGTTTATTATTTTTATTGATTTCAGAGAGGAAGGAAGAGGGAGAGAGAGATAGAAACATCAGTGATGAGAGAGAATCATTGATTGGCTTCCTCCTGCACACCCCCACACTGAGGATTGAGACCGCAACTGGGGCATATACCCTGACCAGGAATCGAACCGTGACCTCCTGGTTCATAGGTCAACGCCTCGACCACTGAGCCACGCCGGCTGGGCAGTGTTTGTTTTTATTAATGAGAGAGGCCAGAAAATCTGGAGGGACAGTGGTCTGTAAGAAAAGATGAATGCTGGGTTTGAAGTGATGGTTGCAGGAACTGGAGCACAGTTAGCGATGCAGGACTCAAGCTCAGTAGATAGACCAGGGCCAGACGCATGTGTCAGAGATTATTCATGGAGAGGTGACCTGAAGCATGGTGGGGGCAGGAGTCCCTGTGACGCTTTCTTAAAAGGGGTTTGGAGTGGAACAGACTGCAAAGTGCAGTATGTTATTTGTAAAGCCCTCTGGATGTGGCCACCTTTCTATTCTTTGGCTATTATATGCTTTCAGAAGCAGCAGCATTTCTACCAATCACCATGGGAGGCCGAACAGCACCCCGCTGTATCCTTAGGAAAAACAATTTGGTTGTGGAGTGTGCTGGTGCCTCCATGTGGCCAATATGTACTAGTGCAATCAATGAAATGGGAGTGGAGAATTGCTGCAGGAATTCTCGGCAAAACTGCCATTTTGAGAAACTTCCTTGGCATGAGTGACTGTTGTTGGCATTTCTCCCTGTTGTGCGGCAGGCTGGTACTTACCCTAGACCAATGGTTCTCAACCTTCTGGCCCTTTAAATACAGTTCCTCATGTTGTGACCCAACCATAAAATTATTTTCGTTGCTACTTCATAACTGTAATGTTGCTACTGTTATGAATCATCATGTAAATATCTGATATGCAGGATGGTCTTAGGCGACCCCTGTGAAAGGGTCGTTCGACCGCCAAAGGGGTCTCATCCCACAGGTTGAGAACCGCTGCCCTAGACCTTTCTGGTAGCTTTGTTACCGCGATTCCCATCCCGGCACTGACGGGTGAATATGGTTCCACCTTCAGTCTTCTGGGTGTCTTGTGGGAAGAAGAGGGGTGACTCATGGATCTTTTAATCCAATTTACTAGTTTTCATGACATTCCATTATGAAGCTCCACTACCTTTTATCATTTCATCGATTAAAGCCAATTTGCATAAGAGATTTTAATAAGAGAATTGGAAATATCACCTACATCCCACATCATACTGTCCATATAAGAAATGTTCAGCCATGGCCGGGTGGCTCGGTGGGTTGGAGCGTCATCGTTCCCCTAGACCAGGGGACGGCAAACTCATTAGTCAATAGAGCCAAATATCAACAGTACAACGATTGAAATTTCTTTTGAGAGCCAAATTTTTTAAACTTAAACTATATAGGTAGATACATTGTTATTAACTTAATTAGGGTACTCCTGACTGACTGGCTCACTCAACTCGTGCATAAATCGAGAGCGCCTCCCCCGCACTGCGTATCCCGCGGCCCGCCTGCGCCACATCTCCCGGCCCGACCAACCGACACCCCCCACTTCTAACGCCACCTCTTCAAAATAGACTCGCCCAGGCCGAAAACCGACTTCTGCGCATGGGCCACGAAGTTTCAACCGCACTGTATGTGCGTGCCTGCACGTGGTATTTTGTGGAAGAGCCACATTCAAGGGGCCAAAGAGCCGCATGTGGCTCTCGAGCTGCGGTTTGCCGACCACTGCCCTATACCAAAAGGTTGCAGGTTCAATCCCTGGTCAGAGTACGTACAGGAGGCAACCAGTCAATGTTTCTCACATTGATGTGTTGGGTGTTGTTTTTTTCTCTCTCCCTTCCTCTCTCTATAAAATCAATAAACATATCCTAGGGTGAGGATTAAGAAAAACAAAAAGAAAATGTTCAAACCTGTAGGGAATTTTTTATTTTATTTTATTTTTTTTTATTTTTGTTAATCCTCACCAGAGGATATTTTCCCCATTGATTTTTAGAGAGAGTGGAAGGGAAACAGGGAAGGAGGGGGAAAGAGAGAGAGAGAAACATCCATGTGAGAGAGACACATCAATTGGTTGCCTCTCATGCACATGCCATGAATGGGGACAAACCTGCAACCCAGGTGTGTGCCCTTGATCAGGCATCAAACCTGAGACCCTTTGGTGTACGGGCCGATGCTCTAACCATGGAGCACACTGGCCAGGGCTTAATGAGTTTATTGAGCCAAATGGAAGACAATTGCTAGGAAGCAAAATCCCAACGGATGGAGATTTGCTCCAGAGAATGGCAGTTGTGCAGCTTGTTTTATATACAGTGGGGCCTTGACTTACGAGTGTCCCGACTAACGAGTTTTTCGAGATACGAGCCGTCTCTCGGCCGATTTTTTGCTTTGAGTTGCGAGCTAAAATTCGGGATACGAGCCAGCTTCAGATACCCCACCGCTAGTTGGCGCAGCGAATGTCACAGTGAACGCCACAACATCAGCCCAGCATCACGTGTCTCACTCGTTCACTTTTGATTTGACATACGAGTAATTTGAGTTACGAGCTCCGTCACGGAACGAATTAAACTCATAAGTCAAGGCCCCACTGTATTGGAATCAAAGCAGATGGAAGGGAGTTACATGAAATGCATTAGTGGCAGGATAAGGCGGTGGGAGAAGGCAAAGCGGGGAAAGCTCTAGGACTGGGTAAAGAGTAAAATGGAAAGACACTTCTTTTACGTGGGTGGGTGCAGGATAGTTAACTAACGTGTACATAGAGGTGGCACGTGGAGAACAAGAGACAGTGAGGGGTTC